GTTGAGGAGCCCCAAGACTGCATTGCATTTGAAGATGAAGAAGGACCCTCCGAGGAAGCAGCGCCGCTTTCACGTCGAGCTTCGATCACTACTTGATGACGGCGTGGGAAGCTCATGAGGGCGCGGGGGGATTCTAATCGGCAAATGAGGAATCCCGTTTTTTAATGATCCAGATTTAAGCCAAATTGAAATCGCAAAGACAAATTGAAATGAGAGAAGAAACTTGGATACAAATCCAACATGGTACAATAAGAAACTCAAAGCAAGTCGGTCATTTTTCGGCCTTGGGTCATAGCAGCATGTTTGGGTTGGGGAGTGCCTCATGGCCGCTCATGGCAGCTCATGCGCATTGTGTACGGCTGACTAGGGTTGTCGAAATCTCGAATTTCATTGAGGATCCCGAATTCTTGGCCTTCAGTCCAGTGAGGACGGTGTTCACGTAACAGATCAATGAGGATTTGATGATTGCGAAGTGCAAAGGTGTCTCCTGTGCAGTCGGACCAGCGAGGGTCCATAGAGGAAGGCGCTAGGTAGAAGCCCCAGATATTTTTGATATTCTGACTGATGTAGTGGAGGATGGTGTCAACCGTGGTAATCTGAGTCTGGGCTGGAGCTAGCAGGAAACTGTATGTGAACAGTGCATACTGTTCAAGTCTGCCAAGCGGCAAAGCTTCACAAGTAGTGGCTTGCATGACATCACTGCGACGGGCAGACATAAGATATTGGACCTGTGTGAGGTCTATGATGACCAACACCCGCCTGGTTTGACGGAGCATTGGTGTGTAGTTCCATGTCTCATGATGACGTGGATCACGAGGTCGGTCTGGAGTTCGATGACTCCACATGGGCGGGTCGTCCCGAGAGCGGGAGCGGTCAGATGGTACCGATACGTAACTAGATGGATGAGCCATTATGGCTAGACAGAAACCAAAAAAGGAAACTAGCAAAGTGACCAAAGGAAAATTAACAAAGAAGGAACAAGCAAAACATCGGATACAAGTATGGCCAAAGGCAGCATCTTTTTCCTTTCTTACCAGTTCTTTAATCCTCTGCCTCTGGTTCGTTCCGAGGCGTTTCCATGCCATGTTGGTCGGAAAGCTGTCTCAAAAGGTTCCAGCGAATTTTGCACACCTGTGGATCTCGACGTAGTCTGGCACCGATCGACTTCCACGACGGTCGTGATTTGCTGTGATTTTTGAGATTGATCAATTCTTGGTCTTCATTATCGGTCCAAGGTCGTATAGTCGAATGAGAAGTGTCTCGATCGGATCCTGTGGGTTGAAGAATTCGAATGGTTGGATTGGTTGGAGGGCCTTTGGGAAGGGCTTTTGGATTGGTAGTTGGTGGCGGTTGGTGGAACTGGTGAAATTGGGCGATCAACTGGTGTGGTGGAAGAAACGGTCACAGGATTGGTATTGACTGCTGAAGCATCATGAATTGGATGGGCTGTAGAAGCAACTTCTTCATCGGAGTCGTCTGAATTGAACCTCTGCAATAATCGGCAGGGAGATGGAGCGGGTTGACGACGAATGGATCGGATTGTCTGCCGAGCATTGTTTTTTCTTCGGTTGTGGATCCTCAAGGTTGTTGGAACGTTGTTTGGATCGAACTGGAACAGCAGTTATGGACGCACGAGTCGTCACTCGAGAACTGTCAGGAACCGGTGAGTGTGGAACTGGAGCTGGTGGTGGATGAGAATCGGTGTGAAGATGGTGGAGTGTGGAGATATTGGCTGGATGAACTTCGTCGTTGCGTGGACGACTGGCAATTGAAAAGGGACGAAGATTTGGTTCAGGGTTCAAAATTACGTGGGTGGGAATGCCCCCGTGAGATGCCATTGTGGGTGCGGATGAAGAGGATGGAAGAGGAACAAAGGTATGAAGGTTCCTCTGGGCTGGGTGTGAACGCCCAGTACGGGTGTAAGGGTCTCAGAGACTGAACGTGCTCCAAAAATAAAATTCAAGGACCGATATGCCAATAAGGAAAGACAAAGGAGGTGGTGGAGGATCGAGAAGTAAATCAAAGTTGTGTGTGTGTGACAAAGTTGTATATGAAAGATGGTGCGTGACAAAGACAGATGGCGTGTGTGACAAAGATGTGTGTGTGTGTGACAAAGTTGTGTGTGACAGATGGTGTGTCAAAGATGGTGGGTGACAAAGTTGTGTGTGAAAGATGGTGTGTGGCAAAGTGGTGTGTGAAATATGGTGTGGCGGCAGATGGTGTGCGACAAAGTTGTGTGGGAAAGATGGTGTGGTGAAAGATGATGTGCGACAAAGTTGTGTGTGAAAGATGGTGTGGTGAAAGATGGTGTGTGACAAAGTGGTGTGTGAAGGATGGTGTGTGACAAAGTGGTGTGGGACAAAAGTGGTGTGTGAAAGATTGTGTGTGACAAAGTGGCAAGGATGGTGTGTGAAAGATGGCGTGTGACAAAGTGGTGTGTGACAAAGTTGTGTGTGAAAGATAGTGTGTGTGACAAAGTGATGTGTGAAAGATAGTGTGTGACAAGTTGAAAGATGGTGTGTGACAAAGTGGTGTGTGAAGGATGGTGTGGTGAAAGATGGTGTGAGACAAAAGTGGTGCGTGAAAGATGGTGTGTGACATAGTGGTGTGAAAGATGGTGTGTGACAAAGTGGTGTGCGAAAGATGGTGTGTGAAAGATGGTGTGAAAGATGGTGTGTGACAAAGCCGTGTGTGAAAGATGGTAGGTGACAAAGTTGTGTGTGAAAGATGGTGTGACAAAGATGGTGCGTGACAATGTGGTGCCGGGGCGTCACCGGCGACCAACGGCGACCAAGTGTGCCACGCAGTGCCATAAGTGCCACGCCTGCCACGCAAAACAAAGGTGGATGTGAGATTGTGCCACGCCTGCCACGCAAAACGAAGGGGGATGTGAGATTGTGCCACGCCTGCCACGTGAGACGAAAGTGGATGTCTCCAAGTGCCACGCCTGCCAGGCAAAACCACCAAGTGCCACGCCTGCCACGCAAAGTGCCGCGGCGTCACCGGTGACCAACGGCGACCAAGCGCGCCACACAGTGCCATAAGTGCCACGCCTGCCACGCAAAACGAAGGTGGATGTCTCCTTGTGCCACACCTGCCACGTGAAACGAAGGTGGATGTCTCCAAGTGCCACTCCTGCCACGTGAAACGAAGGCTGAGAGAAGGTGGATGTCACCAAGTGCCACGCCTGCCACGCAAAGTGCCGCGGCGTCCGGCGACCAACGGCGACCAAGCGCGCCACACAGTGCCATAAGTGCCACGCCTGCCACGCAAAACGAAGGTGGATGTGAGATTGTGCCACGCTTGCCACGCAAAACGAAGGTGGATGTCACCAAGCGCCACGCCTGCCACGCAAAGTGCCGCGGCGTCACCGGCGACCAACGGCGACTAAGCGCGCCACACAGTGCCATAAGTGCCACCCAAAATGAAAGTGGATGTGAGATTGCGCCACGCCTGCCACGTGAAACGAAGGTGGATGTCACCAAGTGCCACGCCTGCCACGCAAAGTGCCGCGGCGTCACCGGTGACCAACGGCGACCAAGCACGCCACACAGTGCCATAAGCGCCACGCCTGCCACGCAAAACGAAGGTGGATGTCTCCTTGTGACACGCCTGCCACGCAAAACGAAGGTGGATGTCACCAAGTGCCACGCCTGCCACGCAAAGTGCCGCGGCGCCAACGGCGACCAATGGCGACCAAGCGCGCCACACAGTGCCATAAGTGCCACGCCTGCCACGCAAAACGAAGGTGGATGTCTCCAAGCGCACACCTGCCACGCAAAACGAAGGTGGATGTCACCAAGTGCCACGCCTGCCACGCAAAGTGCCGCGGCGTCACCGGCGACCAACGGCGACTAAGCGCGCCACACAGTGCCATAAGTGCCACACCTGCCACCCAAAATGAAAGTGGATGTGAGATTGTGCCACGCCTGGCACGTGAAACGAAGGTGGATGTCTCCAAGTGCCACGCCTGCCACGTGAGACGAAAGTGGATGTCTCCAAGCGCCACGCCTGCCACGCAAAGTGCCGCGGCGTCACCGGCGACCAACGGCGACCAAGCGCGCCACACAGTGCCATAAGTGCCACGCCTGCCACGCAAAACGAAGGTGGATGTGAGATTGTGCCACGCCTGGCACGTGAAACGAAGGTGGATGTCTCCAAGTGCCACGCCTGCCACGCAAAGTGCCGTGGCGTCACCGGCGACCAACGGCGACCAAGCGCGCCACACAGTGCCATAAGGTCACGCCTGCCACGCAAAACGAAGGTGGATGTGAGATTGTGCCACGCCTGGCACGTGAAACGAAGGTGGATGTCACCAAGTGCATGTGACAAAGCTGTGTGTTAAGTTATGTATGTGACAGATGGTATGTGACAAAGTTGTGGTAGGCGGAGGTGGGCAGACGGAGGAGGAGGAGGAGGAGGAGGAGGCTCGGGATACAGAATCAAAAACAAGAACCCCACACAAAGTTGTGGGGAATAAAAAACAGCAGTCAATCACTGCGCGGTCGAAACGCACGTCAAGATTTCACAAGAGCCACTTATTTATACAGAAATTTACGGGTAAAATGCCGCAGACCAATAAGATGAGCTCAGAACGCAGGGGCACATTTTGTGAGAGCCTGCGCAGTCGAAACGCATGTCAAGATTTCACAAGAGCCAATTTATGCGAAAATAACAGGCAAAATGCCGTGGGTCAGCGTGAACACCCTGATCAAGCACCGGCCTTTACACCTACCGTAAAAAGACCCCAGTGTGGACACACAGTTTGGGGAACAATCGATTTTAATGCGGAAATCGAAGAGGACATGTAATAGGAAACTATAGGAAGTCAAAACTTGAAGGTTGCCAAGATGAAGTTAACTTCACGGCTCTACTATTTGGGAGGTGGGCAACACCGCAAAACTCTCCAACCTTCTCATCCCTGCAGCGGGTGTTTATCATGGTTTATCAAAATGACGGACCCCACACAAATGAAGTAACAAAGACTCATCAAACAGAAACTAGCACAAGAATGCACAAGCAGCCTCCTGTGTTCGGATGGCTGCTTCTTCGCTTTCCTCCTGCAACTGCGGCTCAAGCTCTTCTGTCTTCCGTTTGAGCCCACGAGCCTGTCACATAGCATCGCGCAGCCTACTCTCACTCTACACAAATTTTCTCTAGGGTTGGGCAGGACAAGAGCACAAAGACTATGTCATGGAATGGTCTGACCAGCACGAATCGAAGAAAATAAGAAGTTCAGGCAATTCAAATCACATACGCTGCAAAGAATATGTCGCCTGTTCCACCTCTAGTCTCTAGAGACTCTAGGCTACCAAAAGCATCCAAAAGACCCCAACTCTTTTCAACTCATCTATAATACTCATCTAATTCATCCTACCGGTACTGTAATTCTGGAAAAACTCGCACAGCTCCAGGCGCCTGTTGCCGCAGCCAAAAATCAACTGCCTGAAAACGGGCGTATCGTCATCACGAACTATGCATCACGCATCATGACGTAAAGGGAAGACCCTTGAACTACTGCAAGTGCATCTGAAGGTTTACCTAAGCCCCCGACTGTGAAATGTTCGTGAAATCTTGCCAGAATCTCCTGGTAAGAGGCACCCTTCTCCGGCTTCTTGAAATTGCACCGGATGGTGCAGTTGCGGCATTGGATAATGAAAGGCTTGTCTCCAAAGTCTTCCGCGATCTCTTTCTTGAAGTCTGCGCTGGCCTTCGAGGATGGCAAGTTTGGCAAGGTGGAAGTTTAAGCAAATCAAAGTCAACGTCAAACCAGCAATCGAAAAAGAATGCATGGAAGCAATATCATGTCAAATCTATACTCGATGACAGGCAAACATCCCAACACAGTCGCTTGCAGTATGTTCCAGTAGCCTTTCCCGTACCCTGCAGGGTGCCATGATTTTGACCTTTTTTTCCTTTTCCCAAATAACAAGCCACTCAATGGCCCTTACATCATGTCCAATCTGGAATTTGCACTGCTTCCTGCCTTAGCAAACTCTCGAGATTGCTTGCGAAACCGGAGCGTTTTGCCTGATTTAAGCCTGCACCCAAAAGCATCCAGATCTCAAAAACTACTGTCCGGTACTGTGCAGTGCTTCCGTCCGCTTGAGCAGGCGGTAAACGAAAAGTAGGATCGAACAAGCGAGCAACAATGCAGTGTTAAAGAATAGGCTTGCATGATACTGTATAATCTTTTAGTGTTCAAGGTTCATTCGCTGTTTTCTAATGGATGTTGGGCATGGTGCATGTAAACGGAAAATGTGGATTCTGTACATGATGTGAAGCTGCTGCATAATCTGTGGATGCTGTGAACTGTGGATTGAGTGGGCCATGTGCAGGCTGTGAACGTTGGGGATGATGTACACGTGGTGGGTGTGAATGGTTTCACAGGCTGTTCATACGATTGGCCACCAGGCACGTGGAAGGAATCAACTTGGTCACATATTGAGCCCGAAAAGGATCGCCGCCACCTCAAGCCTGAAGGTGTAGATATTGTTGTCTTGACAATACTCCTTCAAAATCAGGTGTATTTGATTGCATTTTTTCATAGTTTATAAACACATTTTCAAGTAAGGCATCCCATTGTTAGGGCAGCTTTTGGCCGTTAGCTGTTGTAGGCGGTGTAAATGTTGCGCACGATTGCACGTGATGTCGATGATGTGGATGTTGTGCATGATGTAATTATAAGGAGGTACATGATGTATATGCCGCACGGATTTTCTTTTCCTACAACAATGTACATGATAACGACCGAACGCAAACGGGTGCCAACCTGTGAGCAATCGCCAAATCGACCAAAAATCTAAAATCACATGTACCATGGGGGAAGATCAAAAAAACCTCCACCCCCCCAAGGGCTAACGCACCATCTATTGAATTGCCCATCCTGGCACGCTTCCCTGTGCTCCAGATCATCTGGAGCTGGATCCTTTTTGACTTTCGTTACACCCCAAAGGTATACCAGTTCAATGCGATTTTAAGGTACATCCTTGCAATTCCCCATGCCCCCATGATAGTCGGACATAACAAGACACACAACCAGAGTGCTCAAGATTCTCAAGCAAGTTTGTTGTCAAGTTCGTTGTCTCAGTTTCCTCTGCATTTGTTTGATGCCATCTATGACCGAAACGTATGGCAGCCTCAAGCAGTTTTCCAGCCTCTCTTCTCCACTGCAGCGTCCTTCGTGCTCTTTCAAGTTGGCTTGATCGCAAACCAGTCCGCAGCCGCGAGAACAACGTTGATACACGCGCCTGTCATGCTGCCACCGCCACCCAAAGCAGCAACTCAAAACTCAAAAACAAACAGCTGGAAACTCAAGCTGAAGCGGCCTGCATGCACCATAATATTCCCCGGTGTATTTTGGTGTATTTTTGAATTCGGGGGAACCGGGGCTTGAACCAAAGGGCAGCAGAAGAGCGCCTTTGAACGCCTTTGTGCACTGCCTAGTCTTAGTCTAGTATGCTATGTATTCTATGTAATTACGTGTGCCCTGGCATCTTTCGCTTCATGGGCGTGCAATCGTTCCCTCTGATTTTCCAGCTCCCCATCTCAGTGGTGCGAGCTCACAGCTCCGCACTATCCCCACTGTTAAACATCAATAGTCCGGAAATTGAGCTTCCGACTAGAATCCAAGGTGTGGCCCCACGGCCCAGCAAAAGAACCTTGCAGAGAAACATCCAAATGGATCCAAATGGTTGCTCTGAGTTCTACAGTTCGCCTCCCTTGATTTAAATGAAAGTAGATTGGCTTCTGAAACCAACTGGACACCAAATACACACACATACACCAAAAAAAAAGGGTTCTTTACCCAAGAAAAGATAGAGGTACAGGTGACAGGTGTATGTGATCAGCAAAATTCACATTCCAAAAATACTGGGACAAAAGAAAACACCTCCTGCCCTGAAGGCCTGCATGCCGTTGAGACTAGCAGACTAGCTTGCCAATGCAAGAATAGCTGACAATTCGACATGGTCATCACAGTAATTGTGGACACTATTTAGGCACAGTGGCATAAAAACATCGGACTTTATATTTGCAGAAACAACCTCCGCAGGGTCTGAAAGCTTTGCAGCCTTCATTCGTGATGTTTTTCGTTTCAAACCTCGCCTCCTGTTTTTGCTTCTCCCTGGACCGAGCAATCAAATCTCTTGGAGTCTTTACCCCTGAAGTCACGAATGGTCTGCCTACTGTCCCTGGCATCGTTCTCAAAGCCCCAATGCCCTTCTGCTAAAGATCAATGTCTTTGTGTCATTCTCATTGCAAAGTCGAGATTCAGGAGAATTCCAGCGGAGTAAAAAATCCACAGCAGGGCAACCTATCCGCAACGCAGCCTTTTTTCAGAACAATTTCCTTGCATACTATGATGGCGCATAATTATGTACAATTAAATGTAAGTACGGTTTGTGATAATATATGTGTATCATATATAATAGAGTACATGTACAAAATTGTACAAACGTATATTGCGTACCTCACACAAAAAATAAATTACTTTACTTCGTGTGATCCACACCATGACATTTATACATTTTGTTACTGGCAAATCTTCTGGCATTCTATCTGACATATTTTCTGGCATTCGATCTGGCATTCTATCTGGCATATCTTCTGGCATTCTACCTGGCATATCTTCTGGCATATCTTCTGGCATATGTTCTGGCATATCTTCTGGCAGATGTTCAGGCATATCTTCTGGCATATGTTCTGGCATATCTTCTGGCAGATGTTCAGGCATATCTTCTGGCATATCTTCTGGCATATGTTCTGGCATATCTTCTGGCATTCCATCTGGCATTCTATCTAGCATATCTTCTGGCATATTATCTGGCAAATCTGCTGGCATTCTATCTGGCAAACATTCTGGCACTTATCTGGCATATCTTCTCGCATTCTATCTGACATTCTATCTGGCATTCTATCTGGCATACCTTCTGGCATTCTATCTGGCATATCTTCTAACATTCTATCTGGCATATCTTCTGGCACTCTATGTTGGCATATCTTTTGGCGTGGATACTCGCGGTTGAGGTCCGGCAGGGAAAACACTGGGCGCGGGATGGTCGTTGTTGAGGTCCGGCAGAGAACACTGTGGATCGCGGGTCGCAGTTGAGCAAGGACGACGAGGACGACGAGGACGACGAGGACGACGAGGAGGACGAGGAGGAGGAGGAGAGGAGGACGAGGCAGGAGGAGGCGGAGGAGGAGGAGAAGGAGGAGGAGGAGGACGAGGAGGCAACTGACATAAAATCTAACAACCCTCACCTGGCAGGTGGGGAATTACAAATACGGATTCTCAAAACGTGTTGCCACTTGCCATTGTTGACGAAAGTACCGATAATTATATGTTCGAGATCTTCTTTTTCTTCTGCTCCAGCTTCTGAACCATGGCCTCCTGTGATCCACCCTTGATGTTTTAACTGTTTTTTTTACAATTTTTGCGCAAAATTGGACATGTTTGGACACGTGTTTGACTTCACGGAGTTGACATATATCTTTATGCATTGACCCAGAAGCACTCTGCGTGCCTGCTTCTGCGAGAGAGTCAAGGCACACACTCTTTCCAAATCCAGCTTTCGATTGACCTTGGGTGATTCAAACATTCATGTGCTGTTGCTTCATGTGTTGGATGCGGATGCTTGTTTGAAAGCCGTGCAGTACCACTGAATGCCAATGAGTTTTGCTTCGGCTCTGGCATCAGCTGTGTGGCATCATCGTTAAGCTCCTGAGATATCCTGAGATGTTGTGCACAGGAAGGTTGCATTGCATCATGTCTTGTCACCATACACCACTGCAACAAACTGCAACAAACTAGCCCGATTTTTTCGTCCTCCGTGGGAACGTCCACTGCGTCGTGAGCCATGCCACAGGTCACCTATAGACGAAACATGACGAGACAACGGGGTCAGGCAAGCGTGGGCTCTTGCAATGTGACCAAGCGCAAGAAATGCAAACGTCATGCTGGAGAACTCAGCCATCCCCATCATCTGCAACAAATTAATGGAGTGGATGGATAATATTGGGTAATGTTTGTTCAAAATCGAATGCAATCTGTGGATTCTGTGGCAAGGGTCTAGCAATCTGGCAACATCCGAACACAGAGTGGCCTGATGCAACTTGGCACAATCTGGTTCTTCGATCTGTTTCCTCTGCTCCATCTTCTCTGTCTAGACCAATGGACAAAAAGGGTCACACGTGGGAAATCGTGGGAAACTCCTACCCCTTGGATCCCCTTGGTACAAGATGGTACAAGTACCTGTGCAGCAAAGGCTTTGACAAGACTGAAGGGTCAGCCTGGAGTGGTTTCGCAGTCCACGTTGACATCACTCTTACGCAGCCTCCACATCCATATAAGTCCATATACGTCGTCCATATACGTCACGTCCATGCGCTTCTTTTTGGCGGCTTTTCGACGGGCCACATCCTTCAAACAGAAGTTCTCAACTTGTGAAACATTGGGCAACAAACAGTGTAAGACATACAACCACACATTCAACAAGTATTGACAAAATCATGCAGCAAAAAGAGAGGCTGTCTCCTGTGAGATTGTCTTCTCTTTAGCAGCATGTTCCTGCAGCTATCTGCAGCCCAAGTCAAGAAAAAATGATGTTTCTAGCCTGGCACACAACTTCTTCAGGAGGATGCAGAGCCTCTTTCATGTTGACATCAAGTCCACTCTGCAAAATGTAAACTCTGCGAACTCTTGCAACGAATTTTCGCGCCGTTGAGACGGTCCTTTGCAGCCTGCTCTCGAAACTCTGTGAGATCAAAGGCAGGAGAATTTCACCCTCTTTCTCCATGGCCTGGGAGACAACCGATGGGTTCGAAGGAGAAACTTGCGACCCTTGCATCTTCCACATGCAGCATGAATTGCAAGAAATTTATATATATAGAGAGAGAATCTATGAGATTCTACTTTTTTCTCTTTCTTTAGGTGACAGAAGCATGTCTCCTGAATGACAAAGCAGTACAAAATGGACAAAACAGCAAATGCACTCCGAAACGCCATCCCCAGTTGCCACGATTTTCATGCTCTTGGACAAGTTCGGAGGTCGGATGTGGACTGCTGTCCTCTTCAGGTCCACAAAGTACTGTGAGAACATCTCGAGGCGTTGGCCTTACGACCTGGAGACGCTATGTGGACGACTTGCAGAAACTGTTTGTACTATCGGACATCATCAACATCATTGTATGATTTTCGTGACATCATGTGGCTCACGGTCAAATGCAAAACGAGGGATGCGAATTTTGTTTTAGCTTTGTTGTCTGTGTGTTTTCAGAAAGGAACGCGGTTGCGAATCTCATCCTTCCTCAGTGGGCACTGGCTCAGGTATTATTATGTGCGACTGCTGCGACCCAATGCTGATTCATACTCAACTCTCAAATCTTGCCTTGTAGGGGTCAATCTGTTTCCCCTTCCTTAGTGTCGTTCGAACTGAATCTTCACCGCCAAACAGGGATCAACATGCAATCACGCCACTATAGTATTTCCATTTCATGCCCTGGCATCTTGCATTTCATGGACATTCATGGGCCATGGATGTGCAATCGCCCCCTCTGATTTCCAGCTCCCCATCTCATGCAGCGGTCTGAGTTCGTCATTTTCGTCAAAGATAAACTCGCATTGTGAAGCGAACTTCTCTGCGGCAGGTGGGACAAACAACAGGATTGGCCCTGCTCGTTCGCACCATATGATCATAGCATGCTCTGCAAACACAAACATGTCCACAAGGAACAAACGCTTCGGATTTCTTTGAATCCCGGCAAATCACGCACTGGGACTCAGTCTGGGTCTGGACCAACTCACGCTTCAAGAGAGCATTGTCCTTGGCCAAAACCTCAAGCTCGCTGATCAGCATCAGGGAATTGCGTTCGATTGCAGATGCAACTTCAGTGCTCTTGTTTGCCTGCTAGCGATGGAGGTCCAAGACAAGTGCAACACACACATAAGGCATATGAGCATCATCGACGCATGAATCTCGAATTGGTATCATTAAATATTTTCCATTGAAAACACCCTTTTGCCAAAAAACACAATTCAGTTGGGCCGGCCCCACCAAATGCCATTCCTATTGAAACTAGTTCTATTGCGATTGACTTATTGATTGCGCAAGTAGTTCCTTCCGTAGTCGGTTGCAAGACTTATTGGGAAAGGTGAATGCCCAATGGGTGCTGCTGCTCACGGGCTCACAGGTGCTACTTCTATTCTCGCATCCCATCCTTGCCCATCCAGCTTACCCAGCTCACGCAACTGATCTCGGTCCAGCACACAAGTGTACCAAGACACACAGTTGAAGACACACACACACACCAAAGATGAAACAACAAAACTTGTTCAGTAATGTACGATGTGGTGGATGGTGATGATGATGATGATGGTGATGATGTTGAGGATGACTATGATGATGATGATGATGGTGATGATGATGTTGATGATGATGATGGTGATGATGATGATGGTGATGGTGATGATGATGATGATGACGATGATGATGGTGATAATGACGAGGACGATGATGCGGAAGATGAAGTGGAGGATGAAAAGGTAGAGGATGATGATGTTGAGGAGGAAGAAGATGATGATGATGGTGACGGGGATAAATGATGATGACAATGATGATGAGGAGGAGGAGGATGACGATGTCGATGGTGATGGTGATGGGTGGGTGATGATGGTGAGGATGTTGATGATGGCGACGATGATGATGGTGATGATGATGATGATGAGGATGATGCTGACTGAAAATGAAGTGGATGATAATGATGTTGAGGATGATGTTGTCAAGGGAGAGGAAAATGATGGTGTTGATGTTGGAGGAGGAAGATGATGATGTTGAGGAGGATGATGTTGACGAGGAAGGCCGATCCCAAGGCCGGGACCCACACTTTGTGCGAGCCTGCGCAGTTGAAAGGACTGTCAAGATTTCACAAGAGCCACTTTATAATCTTTATACAGAAATTTACGGGTAAAATGCCGCAGACCAATAAGATGAGCCCAGAACGCAGGCACACATTTTGTGAGAGCCTGCGCAGTCGAAACGCAGGTCAAGATTTCACAAGAGCCACTTTATGCAGAAATTTACAGGTAAAATGCCGTGGGCCAGCGTGAGCACCCTGATCAAGCACTGGCCTTTACACCTACCGTAAGAACGCCTCAGTGTGGAATAGTGTGGACACACGTGGACACGCAGTTTGGGGAACAATTGATTATAATGCGGAAACCGAAGAGGAAATATAATAGGAAACTATAGGAAGTCAAAACTTGAAGGTTGCTAAGATGAAAGAAAACTTCACGGCTCTAACATGCTCTAACTATTTGGGAGGTGGACAACACCGCAAAACTCTCCAACCTTCTCACCCCTGCAGCGGGGGTTTATCACTGCGACGGACTCCACACACATGAAGAAACAAAGACTCATCAAACAGAAACTAGCACAAGAATGCACATGCAGCCTCCTGTGTTCGGATGGCTGCTTCTTCCCTTTCCTCCTGCAACTTCTGCTCAAGCTCTTCTGCCTTCTGTTTGAGCCCACGAGCCTGTCACACAGCATCGCACAGGCCACTCTCACTCTACACAAATTTTCTCTATGGTTGAGCAGGACAAGAGCACAAAGACTATGTCATGGAATGGTCTGACCAGGACGAATCGAAGAAAATGAGAACGGGTGCAGATTCTTTTTGGGGGGAGGGGGTGGTTTTTTTGTTTTTCAGTCTGGGGCACTTTTCCTTGCTATTTGCTACATTTTGGAGCAAAAACCTGTACTTTGCTGAATTTTGAAGCTAAAATGTGCCATTGCACTGTTCATCGATTTTTCCATGGCTTTGATCGATTTTTCCATGCATAACATGCACCTAACATGCACATGGTGAACATGTAGAATTTAGGTTGAACACAACCGCGTTGGGTCTAACTAGTGGCATTGGATGCTATCATAGCGTTGGTTGGTTTAGGGTTTATTTAGGGTTGGTTTAAGATCATTCAGGGTTGGTTTAGGGTTTATTTAGAGTTGGTTTAGGGTTTATTCAGGCTTGGTTTGTGGTTGGTTTGGGGTCGTTTGGGTTGTGTTTAGGTTTGGTTTAGGGTTTCCTTGGTGTTTGTTTAGGGTTTATTTGGGGTTGGTTTAGTGTTTATTTAGTTAGGGTTGGTTTAGGGTTGGTTTAGGGTTGGGTTGGGGTTTATTTACAGTTGGTTTATTTTTTTTTAAGGGTTATATATTTAGGGTTGGCTTAGGTTTATTTAGGGTTGGTTTAGGGTTTATTTAGGGTTGGTTTATGGTTGGTTTAGGGTCATTTAGGTTCTGTTTAGGTTTGGTTTAGGGATGCTTAGGGTTTATTTACAATTTGTTTAGGGTTTATTTAGGGTTGGTTTAGGGTTTGTTTAGGGTTGGTTCAGGGTTTGTTTAGGGTTTGTTTAGGGTTAGTTTAGGGCTTATTTAGGGTTATTTAGTTTAGGGTTGGTTTAGGGTTGGTTTAGGGTTTAATTAGGGAGGGTTATGTTGGGTTGGTCTATGGTTGGTTTAGGGTAATTTAGGGTTACGAATATTTAGAACTGTTTATGGTTATTTTAGTGTTGGTTTATGGTCGATTTGAAGTCTGTTGAGGGTTGGATTAAGGCACATGTAGGGATACAAGGTGTGTAGAGGGATTTGTTGTTTGATTGATTGATTAATGGATGGATGGATGGATAGATAGATAGATGGATGGATGGATAGATGGATAGATGGGTGGGTAGATAGATAGATGGATGGATAGATAGATAGATGGATAAATAGATTAGATAGGATAGATAGGATAGATAGGATAGATAGGATAGGTAGGATAGGTAGATAGATAGATAGATAGATAGATAGATAGATAGGTTAGGTAGATTAGACTAGATAGATTAGGTGAGATAGATGGGATAGATGTGATAGATTAGATTAGATAGATTTTATAGATCAAATAGATTAGATAGATTAAATAGATTTGATAGATCAGATAGATTAGATAGATTAGATTGGTCGGATAGGTTAGATGGATTATATAGATAGATAAAACAGATTTGACAGATAAGATAAAACAAGATAAAATGGGATAAGGCTAGATGAGATTAGGTTAGATCAGATGAAGTTAGATCAGGTAGATAGATAGATAGATAGATAGATAGATAGATAGATAGATAGAGAGATAGATAGATAGATTAGACAGATAGATAGATAGATAGATAGATAGATAGATAGATAGATAGGTAAAGCATGGTAAAGCCACAAAAGCCACAAAGCCAGGCTGGAAAACAAAAAGAAATCCAAAAACACAAAAAAAACAAAAAAAATAGAAGCTCACGCAATTCAAATCACATACACTGCAAAGAATATGTCGCCTGTTCATACCTGTTGGAATTCCCCTGCTAACATGGACTCCTGCATTCTTTAGACAAAAAACGGCGGTCCACCTTGCACTACTGAAATGGCACATCTAAAGAATGCCAACCCAGAGATATCCAGGGATCAAGGGGGTCTAAGACCATCTAAAAAATCATGGCCCAGGCAACCAACTACAAAAAGATACAAAAAATAAAAATACAAAAGCAGAACTCTAAAAAATAGGGAGTCCATGTTAGCCATGTGGATGTCAACCACTATAAAATTGTCCTTGTTAGAAAATGCATGAAAGTTGTTGTCATGGTTGCAACCTGCTTGATTCATCTGTGATGCAAACAGTGGCCGGCGCAGAACAGCAGTTTTAGCAAATTGCAAAAATTCAATCAGCTTGTCTATTCCCTCTCAAAATGCCCTCTCTAAAAAATCCTGACCCAGGAAGCCTTTGCAAAAAATGGGGAGTCCGGGTTCGCCATGTGGATTGCAACCACTTTTTAACCAAAAAAAAACGTTTTTTGCGACAACCCGGGTTGTCCCATTCTTTAGTGGAAATTCCAAGCAGGATGCCTGTTCCATCTCTAGAGACTCTAGGCTACCAAAAGCATCCAAAAGTCTCCAATTCTTTTCAGCGCATCTACTTCATTCTAATTCTGGAAAAACTCTTGCAGCTCCAGGCGCCTCTTTCGCTGCGGCAGAAAAATTAACTGCCTCAAGGAAACAAGCGTATCGTCACCACGAACTATGCGTCACACATCATGGACCCTTGAACTACTAGGACTGCGGTGCATGGACGGCAGTGTCGTTTTGTGCGATTCAATGTCCTTCGTCACTGTGTTAAGCGCGCCGTTACGCTCGTTTTCACATGGAGCCAAGTTTTGGTGTTTTGAAAGTGGTTGTTACAGGCAAAAGTTGCAAAACATGTAGTTTTACCACAACGAAACATTGTTTTAGGATTTGACGAAACTAATTTGGGTCAGCATGCATTTTTTTTTTGGCCATGGCAGAGGTCAGAGCAATTCTTCCAGCTTTGCCAGAAATTTCCCTGGCGCAGTTGTTCCGAGACTTTGTCTCCAACACCACATGTAGTCAGGAACACATGGGTGCATTTTAGTGTGGTACGGACCCCACATTCGACCCTACCGCAGCTTCACATTCGACCCTACTCCAAAAGAACCGCGCGCACCCTCACATTCGACCCTACCCTAACAAAAATACGCAACCCTTCCAGGAAAAAAAACAACATTTCCCGGTTCACATTTGACTCTACCCCACTTTACCCTGCCTGAAACCAGACATCCGTGAACGAACCCCCCTTGAACAATCACATTCATTGGTATCAAATCAACCAGCCCCCCTTGAACAATTACATTCATTGGTATCAAATCAACCAACCCCCTTGAACAATTACATTCATTGGTATCAAATCAACCAGCCCCCCTTGCACAATTATATTCATTGCTATCAAATCAACCAGCCCCCCTTGAACAATTACATTCATTGCT